CTTTTGAATCGCGTACACTCCACCGCCACCGCCAAAGCCTCTCCTTCTCCACCACCCCCCGCTCCTAAGGACAGTGGCGCTAGTGGTAAGATCGTCGATGAGTACACCGGTAAGGGCGCAATCGGTCACGTTTGCCAGGTCATCGGTGCTGTCGTCGACGTCAGATTCGAAGAGGGTTTGCCACCGATTTTGACTGCCCTCGAGGTTCTTGATCATGAAACACGGTTGGTGTTGGAGGTGGCTCAGCATTTGGGTGAGGGTGTTGTCAGAACTATTGCTATGGATGCTACTGAAGGTGTTGTTAGAGGATGGCGCGTCCTCAACACCGGATCCCCAATTACTGTAAATCACTCAATCAATTCTCTCTAATTCCAATTTTATCTTAACTGTTCACCTGGTACTTTGATTTTATTTGATAGTTTTAGGTTTTGTTGTATCTGATTGTATCTTTTAGATCTGATTTTTTTATTAATAAAAATCGTTAATTATGATTTAAAAATAATTTTGATCTTATGTTTTCATTTTAAAACATATGTTTAGATATGCTGATTCTGTTGCTGTATAAATCAATATAGGTTCATTGTTTTTGGGATCCACTCCAATTTATCTTATCTTCAATTGTTAATGGCTTTATTTTCTGATATATTATCTGCATTCTGTTCAGGTTCCTGTTGGTAGGGCTACCCTTGGTCGTATTATAAATGTCATTGGAGAGGTTATTGACGAGAAGGGTCCCCTTGGTAAGAAATCCATAATTCCCTCTTTCTGGTTGACAGATAATATACTTTTCCTAGCATTTCCTTGCGATGTCTTAAAGTAATTTTTATGAATTGCTGTAGAAACCGAGCATTATTTGCCCATTCACAGAGAAGCTCCTGCTTTTGTTGAACAAGCAACAGAACAACAGATTCTTGTTACTGGAATCAAGGTATTTCTTATTCCTATGTTTCTAATTTTTGTTTACTGTTTATCTGTGAACACATTTTATCTCATTGCCATTGTTAAGGGTGCCCATGTCTTATGATGACCTTGTGCCAATTTTTCACAAATTCTGCTATACAGGTTGTTGACCTTCTTGCACCGTACCAAAGGGGAGGAAAGATTGGATTGTTCGGTGGTGCTGGTGTTGGGAAAACTGTGCTTATTATGGAGCTTATTAACAATGTGGCTAAGGCTCATGGTCTGTACTTAGTGCAGTTTATTTGTTGTTTGCAAGATCTTCATTTCCCTTTCTATACTGTGTGCTGACTGTTTCCATTGGTTAGGTGGTTTCTCTGTTTTTGCTGGTGTTGGAGAACGAACTCGAGAGGGTAATGACTTGTACAGAGAAATGATTGAGAGTGGTGTCATTAAGCTTGGTGATAAGCAGGTGAACAGAATGTGGTTAATATACAAATCCAACATTCCTCCTTAATGTTCATTTTAAAAGTTTATTCACTGTTGTTGTTTCATGGAATCAGGCTGAGAGCAAATGTGCTCTTGTGTACGGTCAAATGAATGAGCCCCCTGGTGCTCGTGCCCGTGTTGGTCTGACTGGGCTTACTGTGGCTGAACACTTCCGTGATGCTGAAGGCCAAGATGTGCTTCTCTTCGTTGATAACATTTTCCGTTTCACCCAAGTATGAGTCCTTTGGACAACTCGTCTATGATAACTTTTTTCTTTCCAGGACATAGTTCCCATTATTACTGTTAGTTTTACACTGTGATATGCTGTGCAGGCTAACTCAGAGGTGTCTGCTTTGCTTGGTCGTATCCCTTCTGCTGTTGGTTACCAACCAACATTGTCTACCGATCTTGGAGGTCTTCAAGAGCGTATCACAACAACCAAGAAGGGTTCAATTACCTCTGTCCAAGCTATCTATGTGCCTGCTGATGACTTGACAGATCCTGCTCCCGCCACTACCTTTGCTCACTTGGATGCTACAACAGTGTTATCACGACAGGTTTGATTCTGTTATTGAAAGTGACTATTTGCTCATGTCTGTTATAGTTGGTTAATTGACTTGATGTTATTGATATTGATTAGATCTCCGAGCTGGGTATCTATCCTGCTGTTGACCCCTTAGATTCCACATCTCGTATGCTTTCCCCACTTATTTTGGGCGAGGACCACTACGAAACTGCTCGTGGTGTACAGAAGGTTCTTCAAAACTACAAGAATCTTCAAGATATCATTGCTATTTTGGGAATGGATGAGCTCAGTGAAGATGATAAATTGACTGTTGCCCGTGCTCGTAAAATTCAAAGATTCTTGAGCCAGCCTTTCCACGTTGCTGAGGTCTTCACTGGTGCCCCTGGCAAATACGTTGACTTGAAGGAGAGCATTTCCAGTTTCCAGGTATTTTTCTTTATTCTTTTGTTTTGATCTCAAAGCTGTGTATGCTTTCCTCTTTTTTCTTTTTTTAATACTGTCTTTCTACTAGCAATCAAGTTTGAGATCTTCCATCCTAATTGAATTTTAATCTCATGCGAGCTTTACCTTATGAAAATTTTAATTGTCCCCCACCCCACATTTTTATTCATTGCAACTGTTCAAATTAAGCTCTTATGGGCTGCATCTTCACGCATTTAGCTATTTGGACCACTTTATTTCAGTTGTTCCTATTGTATATTTTCTTTATTTAGGTTATGGCCTTTTCAATAGTATATATATAATATACTCGTATGGATTTTTATATATATGGCTTTGCTTGTACTACATCATTGGTGAACTTAAATACTAAGTCATGGTACTATGGTTGTCTTTAGTTGAGGATCCTTTTTACCTTGTTTTTTCCATGTGAACTAATGGATGGTGAAAAATACCTTTGTTGTCTAACTGACAGGGTGTATTGGATGGCAAATATGATGACCTGTCAGAGCAGTCATTTTACATGGTTGGAGGTATTGAAGAGGTCATTGCCAAGGCAGAGAAGATTGCTAAGGAATCATCCTCTTAATCACATACATTTATGCTCTCATCTTATTCCTTTTTTCATTCCTAAATTTAATAATTTAGAAACTCTTTGCGGCAATGCCAAACTACAAAAATTTCAATTTTTTGGTATAAAAATGTGTCAGATTATTTATTTGAATGTTGTTGCCGTGTATGAGAACCAAGTCCGTGTGCCCAACTGCCCCATTTTTGTTTCAACTGTGTTGTTAAATAAGGGGAAGAGCGAAGACAATGTACATTTTATATTTTCCTGGTTGACAACGGTGGATTTATCTATTGTTAAAACTTGAAATTGTTCCACGGTCCATCTTTCCGCTTTTTCCCTTTTGGTGCTGTTTTTTTTAATAGGTTATCCCTCATCTTTTTACTTTCATATTTATCCAAATTTTGAAATGGGGTCGGATTTATTGACTCTAATGGTTTGAATTAGTAAATAGATTTAAACTATTATATTTTACTAGAATTGATAACTAAGATGCGGTGTAAGTTTAAAAAACTTAATCTTTGAGTAAGTAAATCTCAATTCATTGGAAATATTGTTTTATAATAGAGTGGTTTCTGTTGCACTATGCACTCAAGTATGTGCCATAATCTGAATTAGTCCTCTAATCTTACAAAATTCTAAAATGTCAGTAACACTACCTCAAAATTTAGCATATATTTATAGTTTGAGTATATCATGATTTATTTGTATTATTTTGATGTAAGTGAAGAAAAATTTATAGTATCCGTGCATATACTATTTTTTCCAAATTATAAATCCATTCCTCATATTGAAGTGAGCTCGCAATAAATTTATTTTTCTAGAAATCCAACTACAGTCTAGACCCAAACTCCGTTCTCTCCATCTACCGTCAACATCTCCGATGCACCCCACATTGTTGCGTCCCAGACATGCACAGGCAATACCCTCAGCTCCAAGTCCTGACACACCTAAGTCCTCGTTCCTTGCTATCGTGTTCGAGTTTCTGGTGAAGACTATGGTGGGGTCCACCGCAGAGACCCTTTGCGTGTTGAAGAGAGGGGACGAAACAGGTTTGCTCTGTAAAGTGTGAGAGGATATGATTGACTTTAATGTTGCTTGCAGTTACCACCTTCTCTCATGAAAAGAATCCACCATGCTAGGATATCAATCTACTAATAATCCCCTTCTGAAAATAAGCTTCAACTAATTGTGGACCTTGTCAAGTTACCACCTTCTATTTCATGATTGACTATATTCAAGGCTCTTTAAAGCAACAGCCTCAAAACCACTAAGGGCTGTTTGGTAGTTTTCTAGATACTTGTGAACCTGTAAATCGTTCCTTATTTAGACCAAAGCAGTGCCATTATTTTGATCCATGTAGCGAACCCAATTAATGGGAAAAGGCTTTGGTGGTTAAAAATTATAGACTCAAACAAACTAAACTCTGACATATCTCTATTAATGTGCAGTAGGCACAGCATGGAGCCATGGGTCCATGATATACATAAAAAATGAACGAAATAAACAATATGATGTGATACTAATATTCATTCAAACATAATGATATTACATTTTTATACTTGAAACTAAGAGTCGCATCAACAATTTCCCTCTCCATTAATGGGAAGGAGATTCCTTATGCACCCATATACAACCTGCAAACTGAGCATGTCTAGGTTGCATAATGACCCGTTATTTTATGGTATAATTACAATTAATCAAGGAACAATCAAGGGGATAATCAATATTTTAAGCAAAATGTGTCTAGGATGCAAACCGATCCTTTATTTATATTGTAATATTAATCTGTGTAGGAGAATATCAGTAGCTAACTTACGGCCTGATCACTAGATAATTTACAGCAACCAAGATATTTACATATGACCATATATTTACAAGTGGTAAATCAATAAGAGGATATGTTAAATATATCAAAGTAATAGTTTATTTAAAAAGGGTTTAGCTTAACCTGGTGCAAAGAAAAGTCAATTCAACATAAGTAATCAATAGTGTTATCCAAATTTGTTTTCGAGGAGTTTAAGAGCGAGATCGGAATGATTTTGATTCATATTCATATGTTGCCCAACTCAAAAAATGGCACAACAATGTATTGAAAGCGTATAATACTTACGCGCATCAAGTTGCAGAGTATGATGTGGAAGATGAAGGAGACACGACCCAGACTCCTACGGGAGGCAGCAGTCGGGAAATTTTTGCAATAGGCGAAAGACTGGCGGAGCAATGCTGCGTGAAGGTAGAAGGTCTGCGGGTCATGAACTTCTTTTCTCGGAGAAAAAGCAATGATTGTATCCTGGAATAAGCATCGGCTAACTCTGTGCTAACATCCGTGGTAAGACATAGGGATGTTGATTACGATAATACAAACCATAATATCCTATAGTATAAACATTATTTATATCATATTATCATGCATACCTAGATAAGAGATGAGCTAAGGTAAGTGAAAACACAAAAGTCTTCTAATAGATTTGATACAACACATTTGAGATAAGAAGAATTAAGAAATATTTTAATTATATGTTGCGATGTATTTTATATATTTGTTAAGCATTTTTATTGTGTTAGGCTCTATTTTTTTATTTTACCTTGAAACTTATCTTTAATTAATAATACAATAATTTTTTTATGTAATTAAAATTATTAATAACAATTATCTTAATTTAATATAATAAAGTATTAAGGTGACTATTTTGTGTACATAAATTAATGGCATGTGCTATTAATGTAAATCTTTCTATATATACCTATGATAGGAAAAATATTTTTTATATTTATACCTTATATAAAGTCAAATCTATTCAACATATAAAGTCAAAATATGTTATAACTACCACCCTCAAATAATTTTTACTTTCCTATTATGCCATTAACATTTTTTAATCTCTAAAAAAACATTATAATCATACGTTACCAACTAACACAGAAATAAGCATTCTAATAAATAAAAATTAAAATAAAGAATACCTTTAATACAAAAAAATTATAATATAAAGTATATTCAATTGAAAAAAGCATTTTGATTTTCAAAATGAATATATAAAAATTAACTTCTTAATACTATAAAATAAGAATATGAATTGGCAGGTGTGTATGTAGGCACAGTGTTATTTGAAAATATCTTTCCACTGGTTTGCAAAATATAAGAGTGTAAAATAAATTAGTGGAAATATTTTTAATCAAACGAGGTTGATATACTTAATTTTTCAAACAATGCAATATTCAAATTAGGTGAAATCTAACCTGCGAACTGGGAATTGGTTCGTTTCGGTGCGAACTTTATTTTAACCGTTGGATGAGAAAATGCGGTAACCTGTAACCTGTGAACAACTTGTAGGAAGTCGGTTTTGGGGGGTGTAGTTTTAGTTGGGAAGTTGTTTAGGGGTAAACCGACTTCTATAACCGACCGACTTCTGTATAGAAGTCGGTATCCCCTAAACCGACTTCTGTGTAGAAGTCGGTAGGGGAAAAAACAACATCACTGATTCTCGGTTTAAGCGATACCGACTTCTGTATGTTTAGGGGACAGGACTCTGGCCCAAACCGACTTCTCAACAGAAGTTACACTGGGCCAAACCGACTTCTGTTGAGAAGTTACTCTGGCCCAAACCGAATTCTCAACAGAAGTTACACTGGGCCAAACCGACTTCTCAACAGAAGTTGCTCTGGCCCAAACCGACTTCTCAACTGAAGTTACACTGGGCCAAACCGACTTCTCAACAGAAGTTGCTATGGCCCAAACCGACTTCTCAACAGAAGTTACACTGGGCCAGTTGAGAAGTCGGTTTGGCCCAAACCGACTTCTCAACTGAAGTTACACTGGGCCAAACTGACTTCTCAAAAAGATATCCCGGTACCCAGTCACTCATCCAACGGCTCAAATGAATTAAAAAAAATCGTACGACTATTATTTCAGTTCGCATTAAAACGAACTAACCTGCAGGTAGCAGGTTAGTCACGGCCTTCAAATTATATTATCTAGAATTCATATATATTAATATACTAAAAAATATAAATAATATTTATGTTATATTGATCTAGTGTTGTAATGCTTTATAAGAACCTAAGTGTTTAACTAAGTTCAAGGTTGAACATTTAAATCTTGTGAACTTATTGAGATGAACAATCATTCACCTCAAACTAATTTACTTAAAGGTGAGAATATATCATTGTATGCAAAAGAATATAAAAATAATATATTGATTATAAAAAAGTTAATTTGACTTTACATAGATTATTTTACTTTATTTTTTTATATTATAAAATAATATATAAGATTTAAATAAAAGATCTACAATTTAAATAAATAATCTACAATTGTACATAAGGTAGATGCTTTAAACAAGAGATTAGCATCAACGTACCTGAAAACGGAGTAATAGCAGGGCAAAACCCGTGGAGGTCAAAATCGTAAAATAGAAAATAAAACACAACAGCGTCACAGTCCTATATTACAAACCCTAGCCACTTAACATCACTCTCTTTCTCTCTCTCTCTCCGATTATGGCTTCACGAAAAGTCGTATCCTCTCTCCTTCGCTCTTCTCTTCGTCGATCTTCACCCAAACCTTTTATTCCCACTTCAGCTTCCAGATCCAGAATTCCTTCTTCTAATCCTCGTCCTTCTCCCTATGGTTATCTTTTGAATCGTGTACACTCCACCGCCACCGCCAAAGCCTCTCCTTCTCCACCATCCCCCGCTCCTAAGGACAGTGGCGCTAGTGGTAAGATCGTCGATGAATACACCGGTAAGGGCGCAATCGGTCACGTTTGCCAGGTCATCGGTGCTGTCGTCGACGTCAGATTCGAAGAGGGTTTGCCACCAATTTTGACAGCCCTCGAGGTTCTTGGTCATGAAACACGGTTGGTGTTGGAGGTGGCGCAGCATTTGGGTGAGGGTGTTGTCAGAACTATTGCTATGGATGCTACTGAAGGTGTTGTTAGAGGATGGCGCGTCCTCAACACCGGATCCCCAATTACTGTAAATCACTCAATCAATTCTCTCTAATTCCATTTTTATCTTAACTGTTCACCTGGTACTTTGATTTTATTTGATAGTTTTAGGTTTTGTTGTATCTGATTGTATCTTTAAGATCTGATATTTTTATTAATAAAAATCGTTAATTATGATTTAAAAATAATTTTGATCTTATGTTTTCATTTTAAAACAAATGTTTAGATATGCTGATTCTGTTGCTGTATAAATCAATATAGGTTCATTGTTTTTGGGATCCACTCCAATTTATCTTATCTTCAATTGTTAATGGCTTTATTTTCTGATATATTATCTGCATTCTGTTCAGGTTCCTGTTGGTAGGGCTACCCTTGGTCGTATTATAAATGTCATTGGAGAGGTTATTGACGAGAAGGGTCCCCTTGGTAAGTAATCCATAATGCCCTCTGTCTGGTTGACAGATAATATACTTTTCCTAACATTTTCCCGCAATGTCTTAAAGTAATTTTTATGAATTATTGTAGAAACCGAGCATTATTTGCCCATTCACAGAGAAGCTCCTGCTTTTGTTGAACAAGCAACAGAACAACAGATTCTTGTTACTGGAATCAAGGTATTTCTTATTCCTATGTTTCTAATTTTTTGTTTACTGTTTATCTGTGAACACATTTTATCTCATTGCCATTGTTAAGGGTGCCCATGTCTTATGATGACCTTGTGCCAATTTTTCACAAATTCTGCTATACAGGTTGTTGACCTTCTTGCACCGTACCAAAGGGGAGGAAAGATTGGATTGTTCGGTGGTGCTGGTGTTGGGAAAACTGTGCTTATTATGGAGCTTATTAACAATGTGGCTAAGGCTCATGGTCTGTACTTAGTGCAGTTTATTTGTTGTTTGCAAGATCTTCATTTCCCTTTCTATACTGTGTGATGACTGTTGCCATCGGTTAGGTGGTTTCTCTGTTTTTGCTGGTGTTGGAGAACGAACTCGAGAGGGTAATGACTTGTACAGAGAAATGATTGAGAGTGGTGTCATTAAGCTTGGTGATAAGCAGGTGAAAACAGAATGTGGTTAATATACAAATCCAACATTCCTCCTTAATGTTCATTTTAAAAGTTTATTCACTGTTGTTGTTTCATGGAATCAGGCTGAGAGCAAATGTGCTCTTGTGTACGGTCAAATGAATGAGCCCCCTGGTGCTCGTGCCCGTGTTGGTCTGACTGGGCTTACTGTGGCTGAACACTTCCGTGATGCTGAAGGCCAAGATGTGCTTCTCTTCGTTGATAACATTTTCCGTTTCACCCAAGTATGAGTCCTTTGGACAACTCGTCTATCATAACTTTTTTCTTTCCAGGACATAGTTCCCATTATTATTGTTAGTTTTACACTGTGATTATGATGTGCAGGCTAACTCAGAGGTGTCTGCTTTGCTTGGTCGCATCCCTTCTGCTGTTGGTTACCAACCAACACTGTCTACCGATCTTGGAGGTCTTCAAGAGCGTATCACAACAACCAAGAAGGGTTCAATTACCTCTGTCCAAGCTATCTATGTGCCTGCTGATGACTTGACAGATCCTGCTCCTGCCACTACCTTTGCTCACTTGGATGCTACAACAGTGTTATCACGACAGGTTTGATTCTGTTATTGAAAGTGACTATTTGCTCATGTCTGTTATAGTTGGTTAATTGACTTGATGTTATTGATATTGTTTAGATCTCCGAGCTGGGTATCTATCCTGCTGTTGACCCCTTAGATTCCACATCTCGTATGCTTTCCCCACTTATTTTGGGTGAGGACCACTACGAAACTGCTCGTGGTGTACAAAAGGTTCTTCAAAACTACAAGAATCTTCAAGATATCATTGCTATTTTGGGAATGGATGAGCTCAGTGAAGATGATAAATTGACTGTTGCCCGTGCTCGTAAAATTCAAAGATTCTTGAGCCAGCCTTTCCACGTTGCTGAGGTCTTCACTGGTGCCCCTGGCAAATATGTTGACTTGAAGGAGAGCATTTCCAGTTTCCAGGTATTTTTCTTTATTCTTTTGTTTTGATCTCAAAGCTGTGTATGCTTTCCTCTTTTTTCTTTTTTTAATACTGTCTTTCTACTAGCAATCAAGTTTGAGATCTTCCATCTAAATTGAATTTTAATCTCATGCGAGCTGCACCTTATGAAAATTTTAATTGTCCCCCACCCCCACATTTTTATTCATTGCAACTGTTCAAATTAAGCTCTTATTGGCTGCATCTTCACGCATTTAGCTATTTGGACCACTTTATTTCAGTTGTTCCTATTGTATATTTTCTTTATTTAGGGTATGGCCTTTTCAATAGTATATATATAATATACTCGTATGGATTCGTATATGGCTTTGCTTGTACTACATCATTGGTGAAC